AGATTTTTTTTTTTTTTTTTTTTTTTAATTTGGAAGCAAACAAAGCCAGGTGAACAGAACTGTAGGTGGTGGCTGCAAGTTAAAACAAATAGTGGTTTGGAGTCCAACAGGCCATGGATTAAAACTGGTTTGACCATCTACTAGCTGTGTGGCCTCTGCCAAGTTACTTTACTTCTCCAATCTTCATTTTTATCCTCTGTAAAATGGGGATAATCGTAGACCCTATCTTTGTAAACAACACTGTTTGATCTCCTAGGGTAAGATATATTCTTGTGTTCCCAGGTGTCCCACTGTCCTATTTCATAGTTCTTATAAACTTATACTTATTAGCTTGAATGTCTCTACTTTCTAAACTCTGAGTCCTGTGGCTTGGGGACCCAGACTAGCACAGGGCCTGGAACATGGTGACCTATAGGTACTCATAATGTGCATTATAAAAGATTGTCATGCCTTTTACTTGTCAAAAATACATTGCCATTATTTTACCAGGTGTTTGTGTACTGGAAAATATGAAAAATGAGACACCATAAGACTGTGGTCTATACACAAATTTCTCTTTATTGGGAAGAATATTTTGTCTATAGATCATGTTTCCATTTTTTTTCAGAATCTTTCAGTACCAATTATGCCTAACTTCTTAACTTCATAAAGTACTATAAGATACTTCCTCAGATGCTAAACTGTCCCCACAGCTGCATTTGATAATTCACTGAAGGCTTTCCAAATACAAATGATTTAAAGATATGGTAAACCCTCAGTATTTATTCAGTTTAAGAACTGTTGAATAAATACAAGTATGCTAAATATTTTATTTTATGGGTAAAAGACATAGATAGCAATCAGGATTTTATGGTAAGAAATTCACACATAGAAGACAAGGCAAGGCCAAGACCTGACTGATTCTACCGGTAAAGATACAATGAACTACTTCTAGATTTAGACAGTTTATTACTTATATACACGGTGCAAAGAAGAATGAGCCAAAGGTGTCAGCTTCCCAAGTTCTTGTCCCACATACTCTAAAAGACAACACAGAAATAAAAGGGTCTTTATGACTGAAACACAAGTTTTGGGATATTCCATTACTGAGGGGCCAAATCTAGACTGCAGTTGAGTGCTTTTATATGCTACAGCTCTATTCTGGGGGTACAGGACAGAAGCCCTATCAGAAACTGTTAGGTTATGAGAAACTGTCTCCTGACAACCTCCCAGGGGTGATAAGGAGGTGTATGGGAGATGGTCTTGTAGCAGTTCCTTACAGCCTTCCATCTTCTCATGTTCTGGGAGGTCAAAAGGCATTTAACCAAGACAGCTTAACTGCAGTTGCAGCCTATATGGATACCTGCAAGAGTTCCAGGCCATAGTGGAGGAGCCATTTCCCTACGACTCCACTTTCCTTTTACATAACCAGCTAGGAACTCTTCCTGTAAACACAGGCCACCAGTTGTGGCCACTCAAGATACACAACGGACCCCATACAAAATTTAGTTTAGATGATGAGACTGATGCCACTTACATATCAACAGGATATTCAAAGATTTGTTACTCATGTAACAAGGTTTTATGGGGAGAGCAGGGCAGACTTCCAAAGCTGGTTTAAAAATTCTTGAGAGAGCAAGAAAAGGAAACTGGCTTGGGTTTTTATTGTGGTTAAAGGGTGGGGCTAAAGTGAGGGTTCCAATGCACAGTCAGGGGCTTGCATGGTTTGAAATTCCCTTTGGCACCAAAGGAGAGAGTACCCAGGGTTTTTATTAGCTTGCCCAGATGTAGAGCCAAAGGGGAAGAGTGAGAAGTGAGGCTTAAGAGCTGTCAGCAGTCAAACATCAAAAAGAAAGTTGGAGACAGACTCTTTATTACAATTCATCCCTGGTGTTTGATGGTTAAAATGTACAATATTTTTTTAATTGGATTGGAACAGGTTTAATAAGTCATTAAGGTACACTGTGAGGTCTGTAGCCTGAAGTCTGTAAGGAAGGTGAAAGTTCCATCAAATGCTTGCCCAGTATTGTGTATTCTGAGAAGCAAAATGAATGCCTTAGTCAAAATCAACAATATCTGGAACTCTGAAAGGGGTAAGAACTGTCTTGGTGAGGCCTTGTATTGTAGCTTGAGTATATGTGGAAGCGTGTGTGATGTTGATTTTTATTTTCTTATCTGTGAGGCAACAGCTTCCCAGACTCTTTACCCAAAATGGGACAATCTTGGATAAGGAATTTATGTTGCTTCCATCGGACAAACAAGATAACTAAGCCATTGGCAATGGCCTAGGGTCTAAAATTTGCAGAGGTGGGTAATCATTGGCCAGGACATCCAGTGCTAAGATGACTGCCTACAGTTTGGACAATTGCATCTTGGGTTCAGTACTTTATCTGAAACATACTGGTTAAGGGAAAAAATAAGCACTAATCAAGATTATGGCAACATATTCTAAAGTATACAAACTCCCATTGCTATCCATTCAGTTGATCCCAAGAGGATCCCTAGGTAGCCAAGGGGTGACCTATTCCAGCCCCATGGCATCTGGCAAGGGACTGAGGGCAGGGGAGGCCATCTCCACCTGCAAATGTCATACCAGAGGACCCAGGTTTTGCTGCAAAGAGGTTTTGGTGACTGAGGTTTTGGTGTTTCTTCCAAGGCCCAAGACACAATTAACTGAATATGGAGGACCAGGGCCTGAGCGAGCCTCTATTTCCAGGAGACCTTACTATACAGCCACCAATTGCCACTCTAATGACATCAGGCATACCTTATTTTATTGTACTTCACTTGATTGCACTTCACAGATGTGTTTTTTACAAATTGAAAATAAGACCCTTCACCATCAAAATGATTACAACTTGCTTTATTGCAATACTCACTTTATTGAAGTGGTCTGGAAACAAACCCACAATATCTCTAAGGTATGCTTGTATAGCATGGGGCCTAGTAGGGCAGTTTCTTGCATCAGAGGTCATGGGCAACTTATGGAGATCATGGGTGGTCCTGAGACTCCAAGAGGAATGAAAGGAGGTTACTAAGCCTCTACAGTGAAGGATTTCTGGGAGACACTAATAGGAGTAACACTAATAGTATTACAATTTGAAAAATGCCTTAGAGCCTTGGGGGGGACTCATTAAAAGTAGGCTTATTTGCAAGTAACAGCATAAGTGGACTAAAGTAAAATTTGTGAGGAATATGTTGCCTCCAGAACTCAAAATGGCCTAAAAGATGTTGGGCTTGTCTTAATGTAGGTGCTGAGAGGGTCAGTAGTAGTTTCTTGACAGTGTCAGAGATAGACATCTCTAATTGCTAATTAGATGGAGTCAATAATTTCCATAACATTAGTTATGGGAACCTTAATGAATGGGACCATAGCATGAAAGCTGAGGTAATCCATTGTGAAGTCCCATTCATTCTTTCCAGGTTGAAAAACAGGCCAAATTAGGCTGTTAGATGAAGAAGCAGTGGGAATAATAATCACTCCTTCTCTATACAGGTTTTGTATAATGGGTGTCAATCCCTGAAGGCTCTGTTTTAATTTACATTGGGCTGTATTAACTAGATAAAGGTGTGGAGGATGTCCATGAGGTCCCATTTCTTCAGGCAACTTTATACCTGTCAAAGACTTAATTTAATTTTGATTTATTATTTATTGGGTCATAGAGTCCATACCCACTATTAGTTGTTTTAGGGCAATGGGTGCTATGACCATGGGGAATTTAGTCAAAGCAATAAT